ATAAATTATTACTTGCTTTGAAATCATGATGAAGTATTTGAACATGAGAACCTTCATGCAAGTCAACAAGACCATGAGCTATGCCTCTGATAATTTTGTAATGTTGTTCCCAATTGAGCTATGCATGCTGTCATAATTTAGCATAATTTTGAAAGTCTGATTGGATTGGTTGGTTAGACCCCAACCAATTGAACCAGTACCCGATAATATAAACAGTTCGAGTACATCCTTAAAATTGTTTAAATAGTTAAACCATTTGAAATCATTAAAACCACTCAAGCCGACAAACAATTTGACCTAACGGTTCAATGTTTGAGCATAAAGTCTTTGAAAAATTTGTATCTCGTGGGGTTCGAACTTGTGACCTTGAAAGTCTTACTCCAATTCTTGGCTACTAGAACAATACAATCCCTATGTCATTAAGTGTTTGAAATTTTATTTATCTCATAGAAATCTCAAAGATTTTAATCAAATTATTAAATATAACCTTGAGAATTGAACTTTATTTTCCATGTTATAAAACAAAGATTCTTCCACCTACTACATAACCTTTTATTTGAAACTTTATGCTTTACAATATATTTATTTTATTTTTAAAAACACCATTTTATTAAAGTTTGTTCCCAGTGGCACTCGAACCTATGATCTCTTTTACAATATATCAATTACCTACCACTACAACCACTAGACATTGGGTGAAACTTTTTACATAATAATATATTTATAGTATTTTGATCAACCTAGTGGTTTTGCCGGTTAAATTGATTAAATTGTTCAAATCACAAACTAGAGATCAAAATGGTTTAACCTCCAATTCAGGTTTAAAAACATTATAATTTAGTATTTGCCTACCTATTTTCAAAACACAAAAAAAAAGGAAAGAAAAAAATCTTAATTTTTCTAATAATTCATATTTTTAAATGAAAATTCACAAAATACTTGAGTTTTAACATGATTTTGAAATTAATGTCAAAATTCGTCAAAGAAAAATCAAAGATTAATTCAAGTTTATGGACAATTTGCACTTAATTGAAAATATTTAAACTATGTGTTTTGTTTTGCAGGGACCTAATTGTTACGAGGACTAAAGTGAGGGATCAAAGTGTCAGGCGGGTGAACCTTATGAACAGAAGCGCAAAGAACAATGAAATGACGTCGTTTTGATCCAAAAGAAATTAAAGGGAGAGTGTTGGTTAGTACTTACTCTTGTATCCTCCTCTTCAAATCGGTCCCTTCCTCTTTCATCCCACGTGAAGGGATCTACGTGGAAGCCTTGTCACCAAGCCGTTCATCTTCTCAAGTCATGGATCGGAAGCAAGTTGAAGGAATCTAGGGCTTTAGGTGGGTGGCAACTCTAAGGCCAGGTGGGCGGCAATTCCAGGGCTAGGAACGATCGGGATTGAAGGAAGGCAATCGGATGGCCGAGTTTTTGTTTCTCCCTCGGCTGATTTTGCCTATAAAAAAAGGGAGAGAGCTTTTCGGATGAAAGAGGGGAAGAAAAAGAAAGAAAGGAAAAACCCGAGAGAAGGTAGAGAAGAAAGAAAAAGAGAAGAAAAAAACTGAAGAAAGGCAGAAAGAGTGCGAGAAAAAAATCAGAGAGTACTGAGATTTTCGGGCTTGAGGAATCAAAGGCAAAAAGGGAAGTTTGAGTTTGCTTGCGGAATCTAGAAGTGTTGCCGAACTTAGGTATTTTGTTCTTGATTCATTTCGTGTATATCATGCTTAAATATTGAATGAGAATCTGATTTTTGCGCCTAGATTTGTGTATATTTATTCTGAAATTTTTGTTTGATGATTGTTGTGGTTGAATTTTTATGGAATTGAGATTTGAAATCGTTGATATTATTGTATAAACAAACTCTGTTTAACTGGGTTTATGCCTAGGATCTGTTTTCCTATTTTTAGAAAATTTCTGGAATTTTTCTTGAATTTTTGTGAAATTGCCGGAAACTGCAGAGCTGGGCCGGAATGGGCCGGAGTCCTGCGACTCGGCGGGATTCTGCGAATAACCAGGCGACCCTTTTCTCTCTCTCTCTCTCTTTATTTGGTTGGTTCCGTTTTTTATTCTGAAACTGGGCGGCAAAAAATGAAAGTAAGATGTGAAACGGACCAATGCTTTCATCCATTTTTGACCCAACAATAAAAAAAGAGAGTTGCTTTTGATTAATTAATTTGCCAATGGTTAATTAAATTAATTAATTCTAATCAAGCACTTGATTAAGTTAATTAGGATTTAATTGAAATAGTGAATTATGTTTAATTAATTTTAACTAACGAATTTTTTAATATATTCACTTAGTGTAGGTTAAGTTCTATTAATTACAATATTTGTAATTAATTTTGTATAAATTATCGGTGTAAAATT